TATATGGCATGGCCGATACTAATGTGAATAATTTTTACAATTTAAAAAAAATGAATTTTTACTTTCGAAGCCAGTGGTTTGTGATATCGTCGATTTGAAATGAAAACAATGAAAGTACAAAAAGAAGTTATTATATCAATTCGGCCTAACTTGCTTACACTATATATTAATACATTTGCACCTGAGACCCAAACTTTATAGTTATACCATTAGTAAGGAAATATTTATCGTGATAATAAATTGCTTGAGAAAAATTATTAATTTCAAAATGAAATCATATATTTTCTACAATAATTTATTATCAAAAGAATCACTTTCCATAAAGTTCTCATGGAAACTATATATACTTTAGAAGCCAATGGTATGTGCTATCTTCGATTTGAAATGAAAATAATGAAAGTACAAAAAGAAGTTACTACATCAATTCGACGTAACTCGCTTATACTATAGATAAATACATTTGCACCCATGAGCCGAACTTTATAGCTATATCAGTAGTAAGGAAATATTTCTTGTAATAATAAATTGCTCGAGATAAATTAGTAATTTCAAAATGAAATCACATATTTTCTACATTAATTTCAAATCAAAAGAATCACTTTCCTTAAAGTTCACATGGAAAATATATTTACTTTCGAAGCCAATGATTTGTGATATCATCGATTTGAAATGAAAACAATGAAAGTACAAAAAGAAGTTATTAAATCAACTCGGGTTTGACTCGCTTACACTATATATGAATACATTTGCACCCACGACCCAAACTTTATAGCTATACCAGTACTAAGGAAATATTGATCATGATACTAAATTGCTCGAGATGAATTAATAATTTCAAAATGAAATCATATATTTTCTACAATAATTTCCAATCAAAAGAATCACTTTCCATAAAGTTTGCCTGGAAAATATTTACTATAGAAGCCAATGGTATGTGATATCTTCGATTTAAAATGAAAATAATGAAAGTGCAAAAAAAAGTTACTACATCAACTCGTCCTAACTCGCTTACACTATATATGAATACATTTGCACCCGCGACCCAAACTTTATAGCTATATCAGTGGCAAGGAAATATTTATCATAATAATAAATTGCTTGAGATAAATTAATACTTTCAAAATGAAATCAATTTTTTTCTACAATATATTAAGTAATACAAATTGAATAAAAGGCCCATATTCAATCGAATTGTTTAATGAGATTCATTCACCGGTGAAATTAATATAAATATAACAAATTGATGCTGGCACATGGCGCATGGGGGAGGGAGATATGGTGTTGGAGGGAGTATTGGTGTATTACTTTCAAATAAGCTTTTTCTTCTCTAGTTGAAGTAAATAATTCTAAATTGGTGATTTATTGAATGTGAGTTTTGGTCAACTTGTGATCAGTGTTAGTATCTTAAAAAGAAATTGTTAACCTTTCTCGGCCACAATTATCGACTTAACTATGGCGCTTGACAATAAAGTAAAAGTGTACTTTTTCTGTTTTAGCTTAGATTTAATTTTGAATTAGAGATCATATTTGAGTAATCAGAAAAATATCAATGTTGTTTGGTGTTAGAGTGATAATATGTTAAAGGATAATAATAAAAAATTCAAGAGAAAATGCAAATTTATAACAATTATGTGAGCTCCATATCTCAGCGTTTATTTAGGGAATTAGCCGAATTCCAATCAAAGTGCATCAATACCCAAAAAAATGGAATATTTCATGCTTGAAATCAAATTACAACGACCTATTTGCACAATCCACTAATTTAAGTGACCATAATTGAAGTTTATTCCTTAACTTTATTTTGCTTGAAATCAAATTACAATTAAACTGAATACCGATGGGCCTTTAAAGGCAACCCATGACTGGTTAGAGCAAGGGGTTTATTCATCACCAAAAAGGGTGATTGGCGTTGTGGTTTGCTGCATTCGTAGGATTATATTTGTCAACACGAGCATGGGTTTTGTAGTTGGGACTCAACTTCGCAAAACAACTTGGCTTTCATAAGATCATCAATGAGATTGACTCTAAAGTCATCATTGATCTTGTTAGTTCAGAATTTATGATTGATAATGCTGGTCTTGTTTTGCTTAGAGATATCATAAAACTGCTGCATTATCACTTTGAGTTTGAAGTGCAACTAACTTTCGGGAAAGAAATTGCTGTATTGATTAGTTTCTAAACTTGGAGGTGATAAGCGCTTGGATGCCAAATTCTTTTCATTACCTCATAGAGAGTTATCTCATGTTTTATTACGTGATAAAATAGAAATAATAGATTTACGCGTTACATCTTTGTATTCGATTTTAGCCTTTTTCCATACAAAAATAATAATAAAAACAAAACTTTAATGCATTGAATTAAATGATACAAAGAGATAATCTATGATTAGGTGAAAAGATATGGAGGAAAAATTTTAAAAAGAAAGAGAGAATGCCAATAAAATATCGGACCGAATTGACATGATGCAAAACAATACCGACCTACCCAACTAAAGCTTGTTTTTTTTTTTTTGGACGTATAACTAAAGCTTGTTGTAGAGCCATCGAAGTGTAGATATTATTGCCCTTCCCATGTTTCCACTTCGAAAGAAATTGATTAAAGCTTGAGACTTGATGTCCTTGGGAAAATTGTCAAATAAATCATAAACCTATTGCACTTTTGCCAATTTAGTTATAAATCTTTCAATTATACCATTTGAGTCCTAAAACTTTTCACTACTTCCCAATTAAGTCCATCTAGCCAATTTTGATCGGATTCGTTGACGTGAATGCCAGCTGTCCCATGTTACACGGCCGGCGACTTAGATTATTTTTAATTTTAATTTTTTATTAATTTTTTCCTTGTTTTTTTCTTTTTTTCTTCTTTTTTTTCAATTTCTTTTCCTTTTTCCCTTCTTCCCTCACGTCGGCTGGGGCGAGCAGAAGCAGAAACGATCGAGCGGCGAAGGGGAGGAAGAAAAGAAAAAAAAAGAAGAAAAAAAAAGAGGAGAGAAGGGGGCAAAAGGGACGCGCGGGCAGCGGGGAGGTGACGGGCGCAGAGGAGCCTAGTGTGAGAGCCCAAAGTCAAACGTGCTATCATAGGCAAGCTCCAACGGCTACATTGATCGAATCGAAAAGATTAATAATGAAAGTACAAAAAGAAGTTACTACATCATTATTAATATAAATACTATATAGAAATACATTTACACCCGCAACCTTGAACTCTATAGCTATACTAGTAGGAAGGAAATATTTATTGTGATAATAAATTGCTTGAGAAAAAATAATAATTTCAAAATGAAAAAATATATTTTCTACAATAATTTCCGATCAAAAGAATCACTTTCCATAAAGTTCGCATGGAAAATATATTTACTTTAGAAGCCAATGGTATGTGATATCTTTGATTTGAAATCAAAATAACGAAAGTACAAAAAGAAGTTACTACGTTAACTCGGCCTAACTCCCTTACAGTACATATAAATACATTTGCACCCGTGACCCGAACTTTATAGCTATACCAGCAGTAAGAAAATATTTGTAATGATGATAATTGCTTGAGATAAATTAATAATCTCAAAATGAAATCACATAATTTCTACAATAATTTCCAATCAAAAGAATCACTTTCCATAAAGTTCTCATGGAAAAATATATATACTTAAGAAGCCAATGGTATGTGATATCTTCGATCTAAAATGAAAATAACGAAAGTACAAAAAGAAGTTACTACATCAACTCGGCCTAACTCGCTTACACTATATATAGTTGCATTTGCACCCCCACAACCCAAACTTTGTAGCTATATCAATAGTAAGGAAATATTTATCGTATAGTAAATTTCTCGAGAAAAATTAATTATTTTCAAAATGAAACCACATATTTTCTACAATATAAGAACTAATACAAATGTTTATTAGATCTGCAAATGCATTGGTACGTTCATCAACAATATGCATGGGTACGTTCTCAACAACTGTGAACAAGTGTAACCTTATACGATGTGATTTCAAATCTTGACCAGAGTGACATATCCTACGACATTACATATACGTATTATCTTTGCAAATGAAAGGTAACCGCCCCGACATTATCACAAATGTGAGAGAGCTTTGTCTACCTTCCAATTCTCCCTGGAAACCGGCTGACTTGTGTATCCGGTTTTCATGGATACTAGTGATCCTAAAAATGCCAGGGGTTATCAAAGCGGCAAAGGTTTAAATGGAAAAAAAAAAAAACGCCTAGCTGGCCAAACAAAAAAATAAAGTACAGAATAACAAGAGAAAAAAAAAAGACGAAATAAGTAATCAAAACTTTGATATATTAATTTTTTTAAAATAAATGACGTAATATAAATTTTTTTTTACCGATGATACCGGAATCGTGTCAAACTACTTTACTCGATTTTTATATTCTATATGGAGATATTACAATTATGTAAATAGATTTCATAATTTTAACGAACCCAAGTTGGCACTAGATACGTCATTGATTTTGCACCGACTAGCATGATGCATTTTAGAGTCGTGAACGTAAAATAAAAAGGATCAAATTTTGCGAGTTTATGATGTCAGAGTACGAACCGAATACAAAGCATTGCAAAATATATTTCCCTTTGTTTTATGATATTTTATAAAGATTTATTATGTTTGATCGTAATCAAGTACACATGGTGTCACGAAAATGCAATTAAATTACCAAGCTTTGGTTAATTTTTACAATCAACAAGCATATTCTCATATTCTCATATTAGTTTATTTGAAAGTGAGGTTATTCTTGACAAAAAAAATTTGTTTTGGTTGGAAAAGTGAGGCTATTGTTTGTTAGCCTATCATAAATTTTTTTTCTTTTTTTTTTATTCAGACGGATAATTTCGTCCGTTGAACAAAAAAGTTCGTATTGTCTAAATTGGGCCTACGAGTAGGCCCGTGTCGCTTATTGGGCCTTTTTTTCGGCCCACGTATCGCCCGAATCGGCCCAGCGTAGAATATCGCGCCTTCCCCACGCGGATGATCTCCCGAGTTTTTCGTCGCTTCCCGTTCCTCCCATTTTCAACGAGGATCGAGCTCGCTCCCTAGGGTTTCTGATCGCACCGCACCATACCATCCATGGCGAACGCCGCTAAGTCGGAGGGGCTTCGGAACCTGCGCGATGCCGTCGGTCTCAAGAGCAGGGTCGGCCGGATTCTGGCGTCGATCGGCAGGTTCGCCGTCGATTCCGCCGTCCTCGAGTCCCTCGGGGGCATCAATGGTTCTTCCCCCTTCGCCCTTCAATCGCTGATTTTTCGTTCTTAGATGATGGCTTGGCGTCATGCGGTCTCTGTGTGTCTGTGTTGCATGATGATTCGTGGAAGAATTTGATTAGGCAACTTAGGTATTGTAGTCGGCTGCTTTTGATTTTCACTTGCCTGAACAGAGGAGGGTCGAGGTAAGAAGCATGCTATATGACTCTAGGAGTGGCGCTCGTGGTGGAGAATGTGGAATCGTGTGTTGGGGTTGATGACTCGAATTGGGTTTTTTTTTCAGTGTTCCAGTGGATTGCTGTCTGAAGCCGTTTTTCGCGCTCGAAGATATGTTGGTCTTCTTTCCCTGGAGTTTAAATTAGAAGTTAGAATCCGGAACCCGCCACCGATGTTGCGTCAAAAATTTGAGTGATTCTCCGTGTTTGGCATTTCGAATCTTGTGATGTCCATTTCCTTTTTGTCTAAGTAAAGCTGGAGCCTGTATCTTTGTGGTTTCGGATTTGGTTCGCTAGTCGCCCGTCTGCTAATCGATGACGGTGTTTCAGTTATTTCACTTTTTTTTCATTTCCGGTTGGCATGAAATTCCGGTTACTTGGTGGATGTTGCTTGCTTTGCGTAGTTTTGAGTTGCACAGTAAACTTGAATGAGGCAAAAACAAGGTATTGAAATAAGGATGAACTTGGATTGGATGGTCCATGAGCAGTAGTGTACATATGAAACAACATTAGGGCTTTTGCCAAATTTGTGCTGGTCAATGATCTCTATGCTGCATCACGCGAGACGCACAGTTATAATAGTCGCATTTGTTTGAATTTCCTTGCTTGTAAGAGCTGTTCAAACCACTTCCACAGGTGTGGATTTTATTGGCCCTTCTTGAATTGCTTGTCCTTTGTTATCCAATGCATGTATCATCACTTCGATGTCACAATTGTTTGAGCTTCAATTTATGTCCATTTGTTCCTACAGCAGGAAAGAAGAAGGCAACTAAGTTAATGCAGGAAGGCCTGAAAGATCAAGCGCATTGTCTCTCACTTAATGACGATAACGGACCTGGAGATCTCAAAGTTGGGCTGAATGACATACATGAAATTATGGAGAAAGGGGAAGAAGGATCAAATAAAGTGACGCAAGAGCACGAGAGGTCGGCCAAATCTGTTATAGGGTCGGGAGCTTCAAAGAAGACGCCGAACGAAGGAGCCAAACCGATAGATCTCCCGAGAGCCACGGAAAAGAAACCCTTTATTCGCTCGCGATTATGAAATGGTATTAAATACTATGTGATAGGGTCGGGGAGATTTTCAAGTGGTTGGAAATGCTTGTTGCCCTGTTCCTTAATTGCATCATGCTGGATCAGATCGTTTCGCTGTAAACTTCTCTATATGTTTGTATTTTCACTTCTTCAGCATGTACACAAGTAAACTTGGCCCCTAGCAAGGAAGAAGATCCCCTATCTTAGTGTATTAACTAGCCAATTGTCCCCCGGATTGCTTGATTAGAGGGAAAAAAGAAAAGAGAAACCGCGAAAAATAATATTTTTAAAGTATACTTAATTATTTTAATTTTTTGTGTATATATTATTTTGCGTCGCTTGTATTCTTTCACGGTATATTTTTGGTTTTTTAACGGTTTAAATGTCGAAAGGAGACAATTTATTTGACATGGTATATTTAAAAGTCAAGAGATGACACTCCTTTTTATTATTTCTTTGGACTGTTAAGCTTGTTATTCTACCTGTTGTCTTGTCTTCGATCGTTACTTGTTTGATGTGGTTACATTAACTCATGATTTTTTTGTACAAAGACAAATTTACATGCGAGTAGGAGTGTTTTAATAGGCCATACATATATTTTGTTAACTCGTATCTTAACAGTTTAGATGTTTAGGAAAATTATTATTAATGTTTTCATGAGTCTCCGGATAGCCAAGTTTTTCTTCTTGTGCCCCTAGATTATCAAAAATAAAAGTGAAAAAAATATATTGTTGGTCAAAATGTAAATTTAAATATCATTGAGGACTTACTTCGACAATGATATAGATATAAGATTGAACTTACTTTGAAATTTTATTTCTTAGATGTTTAACTTAACACCTTGTTAATTGCTTCTATCATTTTTCTTACAGTCCTTGCGTATATACCTCTTGTTTGTTTACACATGTTATACCAATTTGTAGTTGACATAATTTGTCACTTGGACCGACTTTTCAAATAGTACAATTACCTGCAACTTCAATTACATAACATCAAGATAAGATGTATTAAATCATAAAATTAAAACCTTTGATTATATGGTATTGTTCTTGGTATTACAATCGTCATGCTTGTTTAAGTGAAGATTAACTCATGTCTTTCGTATCTCTAATTCTAACTTAGATCACTTTTTCTTTTTTTTAGGAGAATATGAGACAAAAATAACAATTGAAGGGCATTTCTATGTTAACTTAAATAATCAGATATATAAATGAGTTTGATAAAATTCATATTAGGCTTTTAGGGAAAATTTCAAATATAACTTCGAGGTGGAGTCGTTTTCTCAAATAAGAGCCTTAGTGGACTCTATCTCAAATAAAAGTTTGAAGTTGCTAACTTTAGTCTCAAATAAATATCCAAACTCGCTAGCTAGCGTCGACTTATTCTGGCGATTAGAGTTTGGGCAATTTTGTCCACAAATTGTAATGGGGTAAAAAGTCGGTAAATCCTAAGAACTAAAGATCCCAAATTGAAATCTAGGGCTCTTCATGGATTTCTTTCTTTCCACGTTGCTCTTTGTCGCAACCCTACCCGACACGGTCGGGGAGACGTGTTTATAGATAATGTTCAAAAGGTGAGCAGATTGCCCTTGATTAGACACGGACTCTCCCAATCTCTTACCTTGCGCAACGTTGGGGTTCATTGTAAGTTCCAATTAATCCTAAATATGTGAATTGGGAGTCGCTACTAGCCTATTATTGGGTTTGCCAAAAACCAAGTGAGGCACGAAAAGATACCTCACTTCCTGTACAAGCTGATTTTTTAGGTTCAAGGACTTGATTACATTAATAGTTCCTATTAGTGTCCTTTTGGTACCTCTAACTTGATTGGATGTTTGTCTAAGTGATCAAACGGTCTTGTTTACCAATTATGAGTCCTAGAGGTCGTTTAAGTTGCTAAGTGTTCATCAAATGGTTTTTAGGGGTTTATTATGATCCTAAGATTTGTCTTAACCGTTCTAACAAGGATAAGAACAACAAATGTAGGAAAAAATATGGGAATTAAACACTCAAGTATTGAAAAGACTTAAAGTAAAGGTGCGGAAATGGAAACCCGATACATCCTCCGATTAGAGCAAGCCATTATTTCCCTTCAATGCTATAATCTTGCTCGTCCGTTTCCTGAGCCATCAGCATCAACCAAGATTACTCCCTCTTCTAAGAAGTGTTCACGTAGATCATAGGGATGTATGTTTTGAAATCCTTGTTGGAAGTTCCTTTTGTTTTTTCTTTGGATGTTAGTTGTGCTACTGCCTCTTCTGCTCGAATGAAAGAATGAATTATTTGCTACTTCTCATGCGCTTTAATTATTATCATCTTTGATGCTAACAAAAAAGGGGAGAGTATGCGATGTGTTGATTATGATTATGATTATGATCTTCCGAGTTCATAAATGTTAGACATATATGTTGGAGCGAGCACGATTGATGATTATTAGCTTTTCGGCTAAGATGTCAGACAACTACGTTAGGCGATGCTGTGACACAGTTATTTTTTCAATGCAAATTCTTATATTTGTCTATTAAGATGAAACTATTTAAGAAGTATGTTGTCTCTTGATGCCTATCTCAGATTGAATTTCATATTTGCATTCATCTGACCATGCTCATTGTAGATCTCAAGGGACTTAGAATCATGACTGACCCTCACAAAGAAAAATCTACGAATAACCAATCTCATTTTATTTTAACCGTAACAATCTTCATTCTTATTTACTGCACATATGTGGGTCAGTTTTGTCATCATAAAAAAGGGGAAAATTGTTGGTAAAATATTCCTATGAAATTTTGATGATTCCAAAACTGCCTTTGGTACTAATATCTATCATGATAACTGCCGATGGTAAGATAGCTTTATTGATGTCAATGATTTCTTTGTATTAGCAAAGATGAGAACTAGGCTGTGATGCTTAAGGTGAAAAAGTACCAGAGTGGTAAGTCATTGTGACTTAGAGTTACTTATATCAAGCTAGTGTTCTTGAAAGTCTTTTAGAATTGATAAAAGAGGAAGGATCATTGATCCTATTATCACGTGTCATTTCATTAGTATGGTCATTGAAGATCGTCATTCAACTCGCTCACAATTTGCACGTGCTAATGATGAAAATTGGATTGTGCTGATGAGGAGTTAACATTGCTAATTGTGAGATAAGCAACTGAAGATGACCACTGATGGTGTAAAGAATAGTTGGTACATGCCTAGATTTCGTAGCTGAAAAACCAAGAAATATTTCGGAAAAGCAGCTGACAGGTTCCGCTTCAATGAAGCTACAGATGCAACAAAATCCATTTAAGGAAACCTGCCAAAGTTAGATGAAATGATTGTATGGGTGGTTCCGATTCTGGCGAAGGTCTCCGACATCTCTCAAACGGCTAGTTGGATCTCTTTGAAGGTCTCCAACAGTTGGATTAAAGACTTTTATAAATAAGAATTAGCGAAGCTTAGAAGAGGTTGGATTTGAGAATTGCTGTAGTTATACTCTAAGCTAGAAATCCTCTCTGTTTATATCTCTTTGTAAAGGTTTGGCTTTGTAATAGCAATTGGTCAAATGCACAAGCGCAAATGCAATGACTGTGTCCTCTTAGTGTGATATATTTTGTGAAAAGAACAACACTTGCCAGTTATAACTTATAGTGCTGATTATTACAGGAATCAAACATGTTAAGTTGTCAGCTGGAGAGTGGACGTAAGCTTGGGTATAAAGCTAAATCACTATATATTGTTATGTGATTTATCTTTAGTGTTCATCATCTACTTAATCTGTTCACTATCATCACATAAACTAGTCAACACTCTCACCATTTGGTATGCTGATTACTAGATTATTTCACGAAAGATTTCCAGTATCACTACTCAACCTATTCAACCTCCCCCTTTTAGGTTGTGTTGCTAGCCTCAACAAATGGTATTAGAGAGTCATTGCTTGTTATTTGAAGTGCTTTACTTCTAAGCACAAAGATCTTTTGAATGGCTAACCTTGGTAGCTTTCCTGCTTTTGATTCTCATGCACCAAACAAGCTTCTATATTTTGATGGAACCAACTACGAATACTGGAAGCAGCGCATGCAAGCATATATTGAAGCGACTGACCTACTCATGTGGGAAGTCATAGTCAATGGACCCGTGGTACCTACATGAGCTCTTGGTCAACAACAACAACGCGAAAACCAACCACCAGTTGACAATTGTTGCTGCTGCTGCAGCTCAACTCAAGGAACCTCATAGAAGACAAGCACATAATGCTAAAGCAAAGCATTTGATTTACTGCACTCTCTCTCCTTCAAAGTTTAATAGAATTTCTTCTTGTGTTATAGCAACAGAAATCTGGGATCAAATTCAAGTTACAATTGAAGGAAAAGATCGTGTGCGAGAAAGAAAGATGAATATCCTTCTCGGAAACTACGAGATAAAGTCCGATGAGACCCTCACTCAAATGTTTACAAAATTCACCGAAATCGTTATTAGTCTTGCCAATCAAGGAAAGATCTTTATTGACGCAGAGAAAGTGAACAAACTCCTAAAAGCATTACCGAAGGAGTGGAGCCATGTGAAGACTTCGGTTCGGGAAATAATGAGAACTCAAGTAGTTAAAGTAGTAAGTGCCGTTTATACTTAGACACTTCTTCCCAAAGCTTGTGCTACTTATACTCAAGAGGATAGATATCATTATCACACATCTAAGCTCAAACTATAATACCGATACACTTCTCAAGAGATTACATTTTAAGTACACTCAGAAGAACAATATAAACATATAAAGCTTTCTCTGTCCATTGAGTAAGTATAGATCTCATTATCACACATCTAGTCACTCTTGATCTCTTGCTTCTTCGTCGTTTTTTGATCTCCTTTTATACTTCTCAATATCCAATCTTCCCGTTTGACAATCTTTACAAGAATCAATCTCTAAGCTATCCGTTAGACAATTGTTTAGCAAATCAATTGAGCCGTTGAAGTTAGTCAATCAATGTGAGTTTCCGGAGATTTGGCCGTCCATACAATCAAATCTTCTGGTCTCCATAAACAGAGTAGCTCGAACTATCGCAATAAATTTGTCTCCTGAATGATTGGTAATCAATCAAGATATCACGCGTAATTAGGATCTTTCATGTAGATTTATAACAAGATTGATAATCAATCAACATCTTCATTTAGGAATCCAAGCCATAAAACTAGCTGCCATAAATGTCCAGATAAAAATCATCTTGAGCTATTTTTATCCAGATTTCTAGAGCAAGTGATAAAACTGTTGGGCAGGTAATATAGGTACTTTGCTTATATAAGCAATTTGCGGTTATATCTGGTCTCCTGATGATATCAGTTTCTATTTATATTAGGTTTCCGGTGATACTGTACCGCATTTCATTTGGCAACTTGATTACGATAGTAATATAGATGTGTCGTCCTGTTCATCTTGGTACATATAAGTCTTTTGACTTCCTCTAGACTTGTTCAACCTTATAGGTTCTTCCGATCTTCACGAATCTACTTTGTATATCAGCATTTCGCGGTAATAAAATGGTCCCTTGATGATATCAGTTTTTGGTTATATTAGGTTTCCCGGAGATATTGTACTGCATTTCATTTGGCAACTTGAGTATGATAGTGATAAAGATCTATTGTCCTGTTCATCTTGGTACTTATAAGTCTATCCACGTTCCTCTAGACTTGTTCACTCTTATAGGTTCTTCCGGTCTTCACGAATCTTTTTGCTATGTACATCTAAGTCCCTTTAAAGCGAATACTACTTGAAATATAGACAAGATTTGCATTTATCAAGCACGTAAGATATTCATGAATTGTTCTATCAACTTCAAAATATTATAGGAGATTTTTTCAACACTTTGAATAAGGCTAATGGCTCGAACCGCTGCATTTAGTATTAGAGCAGGTTCCTAGATTTGTATATGCTGATGCCATCCGCTACCAGGTTTCAATGGTGGTCAAAACATTTTTTTTTGGTTTTGAGCGGTAGAAAAGACGAAAGATGTATTATTGTTGAGCAAGCATAGGCCATTCGCATAAACCTAGAGAGAGGCAACGATGGGCATGCGAGGAAGTGACAGTGAGTAGCGCATTTTGTTGAGCAAGCATTGGTCATTCATGTGATGCGTAGGGTGATGCAGCGATAGTTAGGAGAATATAAGGAAGCGACAGAAAAGCCGGCTATGAGAGCATTGCGGAAATCCAATGGGGAATGTCACGCTCCGACTTTTCCTCATTCCATGAAGGCATGGAATTGAGCTCCGAATACCGGGAGAAGCATGAGGATGCAACATGAATGATGCAACTGATTTGTAGATGTGAGGTTAAGAGAGTTTGTGCGAGGCCCGACCCATAATCTGGCCTCCACGGCGAAGGACAAGGCAGAATTTGTTATCAACATTTCAGTTCAATGGCTCACTTAATTATAAGATTTGGCTCGACATCAGTAAATATTCGGGTGGCACCATAGACGCACTCCAAATTATAATTATAATCATTCACCAATTCAATCCTATTTTGCTTTTTTGGGAAAAGAAATGAGAATCATGACTCCGTTTGTCTCGTAGAAAATAAGTTCCGGGAAAATATTTTCCGGATTTTCCGGTATTCAGTTAATTTCCGTAATGGAAAAAATACCTTCGAAAGTAGGGAAAATATTATCAGCTTTTTAGAAAGGGGAAAACATTTTTAATCCTCTTTCTTTCATTGGGAAGACTGTGTAAAAAGTTTTGGATCGAATTGGCGAAAATGCAATAGCTTTAACACTCTTTGGACAATTTTCCCTTCTTTCACCTATAGACCAAACAATTTCTTTCACCAAACACATTTTCCTTTTATTTATTTTTCTTTTTGAAAAAATTCAAGTTTTTAATTATTTTTTGCATTTTTATTTTTCTTTTCTTTGCTTTTCTTTTTGCTTTTTCCTTGGCTGGTCACCGGCTTGTGGCAAGGTGGGCGAGCTCGAGCTTGAGCCCCGTTGGATCTAACAAGCTGGGTGAGGCTCGAGCCTCAGGCGAGCTCGACCTCGCCTGTGGTCAGTTGCCGGTCATCGCTAGCAACCAGCTGAGGAAGAAGCAAAAAGAAAAAGGAAAAAAGGGAAAAAAAGAAAAAGGAAAAGAAAAAGAAAAAGAAAAGGACTTAGTAAAATTCGAATTTTTTGGTAATTTTCACTAGAAAATCAAATGACATACTAATAAATGGCGAAAAATATTTTCTAATTCATTTTTCAGGTTTTAGCTGAATACTAAAAAATATTGTCATTTTTTTGGAAAATATTTTTAAAAAACGCTATATTTTCAAAGAAACGAGCAGAGCCCATGAGCTGGAATTGATCCCCATTGGAGGCGCAGGTGTCGATTGGGGTCCAACCCAGTTGCACTCGCAGCCCGACCGTATCTCCTCCACAACCCCGGTTTCAAGTCTCCGCGAAACCCCTGTTTCGTCGCTCTCCTCTGCGAAGCGCCGCGAGCAAGCCCGCAGCTTCGACAGAGAAGCCGAGAGCGAGCGCGATAATGGAGGCCAGCGGGTTCGATTCCGAGGGACGAGAGTTCAGCAACGCCGAGGAGATGTGGAGGGAAGCGATCGGCAAAGAAGGAGACGTTCACAAGCGGAAGGAGTGGTACCGCCAAGGCGTTGGCTATTGGGAAGTACGCGACTTTCCCATCACCCTCTTCCTCTTTCTTTTTCCCCCGTTTTGCTCTGTTTTGCTTCTCGCTTTGCCCAGTTGAGGTTGTGTTCCTTTTGTGTGCTTACAAGCGAAGTCTGTAATTCCATGGAGTTATTGCTGAATAATGATTATGGGGGTCTTTCTTGTGCCTCAAGAGAAGGGTGTGGAGGCAACTACAGATGGAGTGTTGGGAGGATATGCACACGTTAATGACGCTGACGTAAAGGGCAGTGAAGCTTTTCTCAAAATGATTTTGGCCGAACGTTTCCCGGGTGGTGGAAGAGGCCGTAATCTTGTTGCCCTCGGTTGGTATTCTCCCTCTGTGTGTGCAGGCGTGGGCTTCTGGGTGTGCGCTTGCTTGCTTTTTCTTTTTTTTTTTTTTTGTGTGTGTGTGTGAATAGGACTAATTCGACTGAGACATTGAAGAGATTGATAATTCTTAGATTACGGTTACAATGTGATTGCACCTTGATGATTGTGTGGAGAATTGTTCTCCCCCATATCTAGTTTCTTTCTATACAACAGCTTCGAGCTCTCAATCTTGAGCCATGGGTAAGAAGTCAACTTCCCAAGTCGCATGCCAGTTCTCCATTGTAGTAATCAGCACCGTAACTATCTTGCTCCTCGCTTGTGTAGGAAAAAAAAAACCAGGAAATTAATCTCTGAATACAGTGTCATGAAACCTTCTGTCATCACCCGACAGAGTTTTCCTACCATTTTCCTCTCTAATAGCGTCCTGATATGGAAGTCATCTACATCCCCTCCCTGCCTTACAAGGCTTTACTGAAAGGCCTCCGTTAGAAATTGATTGTTTTAAAATATTCTTATTAGACCGGCGAACTGTCAGATTAGAGCAACCTTTTCTGTATGTTCCTAAGTCTTTTTGCCACTGAGATAGGGGTTGGACACAAAGAGAGGAAGTCAAATGGAAGAACAGAAAGCATGCTATTGAACAGCGTATGTCTACCTCCCGTTTGATGAAGAAGCCTTCTTTTGCCCACTTAAACTCTTCTTAAAGCTCCAGATAATCCACTTTGGCTTTGTATGACTATGCGGGCCCAATGGCAAATCTTGTGGCACAATTTGACTTTTCTCTAACACGTTCACGTGAAACTTTGTAAAATATATGATTCTGCAGCCACTGGACATTAACCATGACCAATTAATCAGCATGTTGTCGACAACATCTGGAATGCTTCGGTTATCATATATGGAGAGTCAATTGGCAACATATTTGTTGCATTATACTTATTTTGACATAAATCTATATTAACAATATCTTGTGTTTGTTTGGTTTTTGTTAATTCATGGATTTGACTCTTCATAAGTACCAGTCAGCTGGTTTCTCTTTTCAGAATCTCTTCACCAATACGGACAACTCTTGCAGATTGTGGTTCTGGCATTGGAAGAGTCACCAAGAATCTTTTAATCAGGTTCTTTGCTGAGGTAAAGTTGTATTTTCCTTGTTGCTCTGGCCAGCAAACTTGCTTTAGCTCTAGCTACAAAAATGACTTGTAAGACTGGAAACTCAGCATTGTTATTCCCTTCTACTTGAAGAACAATATACCAGGAAATGTCTCACATTTCGTGTTTTTAGCAGTTGGGTTGAGTGTGATACTTGTTTAAGGAGTCCAGGCCTATATTTATCTAGCCATGGCAGGTTGTTGTCTTTTTCTTTGACCTCCTAGTCTTTCATTGCTTCAACCCCTAATCCTGACACATCAATGTCCATTTTTGTTTCATAACTAGGGCAAAATCTATCTTGTTCTTTCCTTTCTTGTAGATTGGCGTCAACTGTATTTCTACAACTACATAACTTAATTTTTAATGACTATTTTCTGGGTGTTAAGACAGAGGATCGCTTTCTGCTGCTCGGTAGTTAACATATTCATTGCGAAACCTTGTTTATAGTGTTCACCACAACATTTGATGTATTGTTGGGCCAAATTGACACTTGTTGGTGGAGAGAAGTGTCAGCTCTTCAAATGTTGTTATATTATTCTTTTCGTCCGGGACGTAGGTTGATCTCCTTGAGCCTGTATCGCACTTCCTAGAAGCTGCCCGTGAAAGTTTGGTTCCTGAAAGCGGTTCAGCAATCGAGAACAAGGCCACTAATTTCTTTTGTGTCCCCCTTCAGGTGAGTAATATTGGACATTCAAAATGTACCTAATTGGTCCTCACATTGTAAACTATCAATATATATGATTCCATGATATCATCTTTAGAATTTTAGGACTATATTAAATGTTATACTGATTATAAGGTCATTCTGTTTATCAGGGAATAGCTACAGACTATGGTTACATGAACACAATAGCATACATTATGATTTTGCATTGATGTGGTACCCCTTTGTTTTTCTTTTACAAATATAAAATATTTTATTTTTTTCATTCAAAGGAGAAATTAAGTTATCTGGGTTATAGGTTTCATATATCTGAAAGTCTAGATGTTTCAAGGATTTTAAACTGGGATTATTGACTAGTTGCCTTAAATTTGATCCACAGGCTGCCTGTTTGCTTGCAGATTTGCAAATGCATGTATATAATGTCTTCTAGAAATGTTTGCTTTGTCCCACTGGATTGCTATACTTTCACTTGTACAAGTAGTATGTAAGTGGTGTACTTATTTCATGTTGAAACTCATTTGTTTATGTTTTAGGAATTCACACCTGATGTAGGACGATATGATGTCATGTGGATTCAGTGGTGCATTGGCCATCTTGCAGATGATGACTTTATATCGTTCTTTATGAGAGCCAAAGTAAGTCAACTATTGTCCCCTTAAGAAAACAGTGTAAAACTGCTTCAGGTTCTAAGAAACCTAGAAATGTGAAGCATGATCAAAATCTTTAATTTGATACTGATGTATATTGGAGTTCCAACTGGAGATAGGCCTAGGACAGTATAGTGTCTGCTATCATTGCTGTAGCAGTAGTCTTTCTGAGGTTCAGCTGTTGTTGTAAAAGACAATTGGCTGCTATTATTGTGAAAATTCCTTGGAGGTTGGACTGCTGCTCAAAATGTCTGATGAGCTTCGGGGGTTGCTGTTGGTGTCAGGTGTTTTAGAGCATAAAAGTTAATGAATTTTTTATTTGCTAGTTATTATTCCTGGAATGAGTATTTATTTGGTGAAATGACACTATTGGTCCCTATATCTTTGCTCGAAATTCAAAAGCATCCCTCCACTTTTTTTTTCCAAAATGGTTCCTGTACTTTTTAACATGTGCCACCGTCCGTCCTTGCACTGGTCTGGTGACTGATTTTGCTAACATGTTGACTCTTTAAAAAATTGTTGACGTGGGCTTTTTTTTTTAAAGCTGACCTGGTTTTTGTGGACTTCTTTGCATTTATTCAAAACTCTCTCTCTCTGACCTTGCCATACCAATGAAAAAAAAAATCAGGCTGTAACCTGCATGCCATAGGCAATGCCTGCAACCACCGCTTGGTGATCGCACCCCTCGGGTGATCCCATCATGTGGTGGTGCTGGATCTGCTCCGTTCTTGTTGTGCATGTGTTGCTGGAGTTGAGACCACAGTCGCGGGGGTCACCAAAACACCGTTGATAGGGGCTACACCTTGACTGTGGTCACTCTTGACAGGCAACCATCGCGTCATGGGGGCTCTATCTGTCGTGGCGGTCTCATGCGACCACTGTGACAGACACAAAGACAATCATTGTGGTGGTTGCTGCAAACAGACGACCTTGACATTGGTGGTTGCCGTCGAGTGGGCAGGGACCACTCGTTTTTTTATGTGTGTGTGTGTGTGTGTGTGTGTGTGTGTATTGGGCGGGGGTGGTGGTGGTGGTGGTTTGATTGTATAATCACCAAGTGATCTATCCACTTGTTTTTTTATGTGACTTTTCATTGAACTTTTTGTCCTTATTTTTTCATTTTTCTCACATAATTTTTTTCCATTTTTTTTATTATAATGACAAGATCAGCAACATCATTAAAAACACGACATTTGTTCTCAGATTGCCACCTTAACTTTCCGATTGCCAACTCAGTTTCTGTGGCGGCTGAATTTAACCGAAGGACTAATAGTGACATTTTTTAAAATGCGTAGGGATCATTTTGTACAAAAAAGAAACAGAGGGACGGTTCTGAATTTCAGGCAAAAGTACAGAGATCATTAATGTCTTTCACATATTTATTTGTGGCTTAAATTCTTTTATAGCATTTGCATTGTCAAATATTTTCGTCTTGAGAGGCATGCAAGGGGAAGAAGGTAGATAGTCACCTGGTCAATTATTTGTCCCTTGTTCCTAAAGTTGAGAAACAAAAGATAAAATTTGAGAAGAAGATGGAGAAGCAAAGCAGTAATGAGCTGCTTTGTTAGATTTTTTTTTTCTTACTTCGAGCTTTTTCTCTGTGTGTAAATACTTTTAGGCCATGTTTGGTTCTCATGAGAAATCGATTATTGGAAGAATTGAAATGCAAAGATTGAGATTATTGCATTTGAAAGAAATTTCAACATGGAATCGAATTGCTCTTTAAATTAGATTCTTCAAAAAAAAAATAGAATCACATCTCCTACTAATAGTTAGTGTTGGGATTCCAATTCCACCTTAACCATTGTCAATCACCCTAAAACCATGGAACTGTAACCCCCATCATCTCCTACTTCACCCAACATGCTGCTGCCATCGCCTCTACTGCCGTGTGAGCTCACTTGCACATGTCTTTCTCTCTTTCTTGCTCTGAAACTTGCTAAAGACTGGTAAGTTCACTCAATTCACTGCACATCTCTCTCTCTCTCTCTCTCTCTCTCTCTGTTGCTCAAGCAAGACTCCAAGGCCATGGAGGTCTTGGGCCTTGCGCAACAACGCAAGGTAAGTGACCTTCGGCATAGAGAATCAACAGAGGTTGCGACCTCTATGGGCCGGGTTGCAAGCTCCGCGTGGAGAGAGAGAGAGAGAGAGAGAGAGGTGCAATGGACGACTTGAGCAGGCAAGAGATTGATGTCATTGGTCGATGGAGGGGTGACAGCGAGGGATTGTGATGGCAACAGGTGGGGGTGGCTTTGTGACAACAGATGTGCTGTGTGTGGTTGGGTGGGGAAGAACGTAGAAGACCAGAAAGGGAAAAAGAGGAAAAGAAAAGAAGAGACTAAAGAAAAGAGATAAAAAGAACAAGAAATGAATAATTCTCTGCCATTGGGTGTTCAATGACTGAGATGTGTTTTCTTCTAAAGACCTAAATTTTTGTGTCATCCCAACAATCGAAAAAGAATTCAATTCTATGAAATGGAAATACTTGGTTTGAGGATCCACTTATGGATTGCTTGTCAATGGAACCAAACGAGGCCTTATATATCTGTTAAACTATGCCTGACCTTTTTTAGCTGCTCATAAGCAGTAATTGTGCTGCAGATGCTCTGAGAAAGGAATAGATAAAAAAAAAGTAAAAGAAAAGATTCAATTAAGAATGAGAAGTTGAGGAAAGAAGAGACAAGACTAAAGTGGAGCAAAGGACTCTCTATTCTCTTGATTTCTAATATGTTTGATCCGTGCTTTTCCCCTGGCACTAACTTGCTACCCTTGTCAGGACAATACCAAATCCTCCCCATAATTGGTCATAAAATGACTCAAATTGCTATAGTTAATGGAATCTGTAGCAAGAAATTCTAGTTAACATTGATTCTTCACCAATGTTAGATTTATGGCATCCGTGCTTTAATCTGAACTATTATATTCCCTTCAGTGGCTGGTCTATATAATATCACTCTTAAGGCCTTATTTTTTTTCTGTTACGTTATTCTAAGGCCTTCATGACTCCATATTCATACACTTTCCATGATCATTTCAGCCATACAATGGTAATTTGCCATTGTATCAACATTATCAGTTATCGACCAATCAAATAGCCTTCTTTTCTAGAATATCTAACCAAACTAATTTGCCTTGAAATGGCATATAGGTACCTGATAAGTGGCGACATTTTATGGAGTGTCTTTGGGTTTCCCTTTCTGCTACTTTGCTTTTATGAATGACTCATGTCTTCAGCAAAATATATTTCAGGCTGGCCTCAAACCTGGTGGGCTTTTCGTCCTGAAGGAGAATATTGCTAGAAGTGGTACTTATTTCATCTTTCATACTCTACTCTCAGTGATGATGAATTTATGGTTAGACCTGATAATATAAGATGATACGGTTAACTCAAACATGCAGACCTTAACTTTCCAGAAAAGTCAACAATATGAGGACAGGAACCAGTACTAAAAAGGAAAACTTTAATCGATATGCTATTCTAGTAAGCTTAATTTTGTTTGTTCATATGTTTGAATCAGGGAGTTTGTGATATAAATTACAGAAGTTAATATACGCATGCACTGAGTCAGGCTCAGGACAGTTTCTTGCTGGAACTATGCCATATTTGCATCTTGGGGTCATTAGAAGTTTGTTATGAATGGAGTTGATATATAGTATTCTTACATGTTATTATATGAAAATAATGACCCTTTCCACATTTTCCAGACTTTCAGAGTCAGTAACTATGATAATCTATGAAATCATACTTTTTGAATCAATTATACGAGAATAAGGGAAAGAATGGTAATTTGAAAAGAATGGGTATCTTATAAATGATAATGAACAATCAAGTGTATAATTTAGCATGTTGAAAGAGTCGATGATGCATTCCAATAAGTAGGCTAGAGAGTTAAAAGTAGTTCAGGACAGCACGTCAGACTGAGGTTTTTTACTACCTTCCAAGCGCATAGATATCTGAATGTCTAAAATATTGTACTTGGCAGAATGTTTTGGTATACCAGGCTAAAACTCTTTCAAGTATCCACAAAAGTCCCGACATTTATGATAATTGAGAAGAGCATAGTGTCTACCAGTACTTCATCATCGGTATCATTCAATTTTGATGTATGAGATTAAAATATATTAGAGAAAAAGTTGATGATAGAGAAAGTCAAATCATGTCTAACAGGTGTTCAAGAGTGGGTATGATTCTGTTAAGAGAAAGTCAATTCATATCATACGATTTTTTTTTAAGACAACAAAAACGAAGATGCAATTGCTTGCTATTTGGGCGTTGAGAAAAACAATGGCTTTGGCTATGCATTAAGGTTCATTGAAAGAGGATCTACGGATTCCCACAAAATAGAAAAGAAGGATTACTTGAGGACTCTTCAAATAAATAGCCTGATGTTGGTTCACATCAAATTTTTTCTACTTATTTTCCCAATAGCATTCGAGATTCATGAGCCAGACTTTTCTGTATGCAGGATTTGTGTTAGACAAGGAAGATCGAAGCATCACTAGGTCCGATACGTACTTTAAGGAGCTCTTCCACCGGTGTGGATTGCATATGTTCAAATCAAAGGTTTCAGTCCTCCTAATACATACTTAATCTATGTTTCCTCGTGGTAAAATCCTACATAACAAGCATCTCTGTTGCATTGACCAATGAGCATCATTGTTTCTGCCAATGTGAATAGTAAAAACTGTATTTCCTTCCACTTGATTTTCTGCAACAATATATAAGACTTTGCAAGAACTTTTCGGAAATTCATCAGGTGGGGATAGCTAATGAATTACTCAGCATGAGATTGATGAATTGTGGTATTCGTTAGGCTCATAACAGCATTCCTACACACTGACACCCTCTAAACCTTATATTGGATCAAAGGATTTCATTTGAATCAGCATTTGTATTTACTTGAACTTAATCTGGAAAATGATATTTTTGGGAAGTGACGAATTTGCGATTTCTTAATGCAACTTTACTGTTCAAAATATCAAACATCTAGAAGAATTCTACTGGTTCTTCTCTGTTATGTAGCCTGATTGTATTACATGGAGCTTAGCTATTCCATGCATTTTATTGTCGATTCCCTTACGAACTACAGCCTGAATCCATTGAATCGTTACAGGACCAGAAGGGATTACCTCAGGAATTATTCGCGGTGAAGATGTATGCTTTAACCCCTGATGCACCTAAACGAGTTCACAATACCAGAGCCAAAGCGCAACCCAATAGGCCCGGCATCATCAAATGAGTAATTGCTTCATGGATTTCATTATCAGAGGAGGTCTGGTGGATGGTTCTTGGGGTCACCTGGACTACCCTCAGAATGTTGTGAGATGCTTATCTGTTCTTTGATGTGTGCTGTGCTTTGAGCGTTTGAATGAGCGTCATCTCTGCGCATTTTGCTCATTTGTTGTCACATTGTTTTTCAATGTATTGAACGGAAGGTGAATAAATTTTTTTTTTTGCTGTTCAATAGGCCGCTCTCTTTGTATCCTTTCTTTGCAATTTTAGCCAGCGAAAACAATTTATTGTCTGTTATTACTGATGTATGACAATTTAATAGTTATTGTTTTTTTGGGTCAAATTTTAAGGGTTATTGACATACCATAAAGTAAACTAAAAATCTCAAGAAAATGCCCACTCAATCAAAAATTAAATCAAAGACCATTACATCTTGATGCCCACAGGAGAGTGACATATATAATATTTTCATTCAATCAGATTATGATTCTTTAAGGGTTCATTTGAAAAATATATTTTTTAAAATGGTCGTTTATATTGCTTGAAATAATTAGTTAATAGAAAATATTTTTATTGTCAATAATAATTTTTGTTTAAATATTTTCATGGATGAAGAAAACTTTTTTCGTTCGTTCATTTTTATAAACATTATAAGCGATTAATTTTAGGAAAAAAATATTTTCTAAATTTTTTATTTTTTGCAAAATAAATAGAGGCTAATTTCGGCGTGTTTTTATAGTAATAAATCAATTATGAAAGAATCGCCCTCCCTCTTGCACCCTCCAAAAAAATATAGTAATCACTATTATATAGAAAGTCATCCCATCGTTAGTTACAAGCCTAAACATTTCTTTCTAAAAAAAAGTTCCATCAAAATCCATGTCAGATATTAAGATGAATTGCAATAGTGAAATTTATGTCATTTAGTTTACATTTTTGTTCTTACAAAAATTTGTTTAGATGGGGAGTTTTAAAGTCTTTTCAATATTCAAAAGAAGCGGAAATCGTAGTTTTGGCATTTGAAATGAGTGATTTCTCTCACTAGAACTTCTAATGTTGTCATTAGTAATTATTTAATAATGCTATAATTTTACCCAAGTGTTCGATAGTTTCATTGAGGTCAATTACTTTCATCACTAGTTATAAATTGTTTTTATACTATGTAACTCGACAATTCTATCGTTTAGTAATGTATAACGATATTTTATTTCCTCAACAGGTTATATCTTATGGAAACTGTTCTTGATTATCGTAATTTGTCTGAAGTCGTAATTTCAACTAAACCTATAGCAAGTACTTTTCTGATTCGAGTAGTAATTTAGCTATAGAGTTCGTAAGATGAAAATGCTATCTCATAATAATTAACTAATACCACAGTAACTAATCTCAAATTTTTTCAAGCCATAGAGCCTACAATTAGTAGTTGTTGACCTCAATAATTGCAAATAACCTTCAAGTCCATATGAATTACAATTAGGACTCTAATTTTACTAATAAAAAATTACCTCAAGTTCTCATATGGTTCTAACGATAATAACTTCACTCAAGAAACAGTAAACAATATGTCTTTATCGTAAATTTCTTCTTCTCCACTCTCAGTAAATTTACCTAACAACGGCAATGTTCCTTTTAAGTTCGTAAATTAATTGAACCTATCTTAAGTAATTATTCTCGACTGTCAAGACTATCCTTAATTTAATTATGAAATTTACAGTCCTTAAATATCAGTAATTACCAATTTAACAAGTACATATTTTCTGACTTTAGATTCAAAGAATTTTGTATGCGGGGCTAGTCCCAGTAAAAAATAGGAAAAATGACATAAATTGTGTCTGAACTTTGACCTAATGTGTAATATGATTCCTCAACTTTTAATTTGTTCAATATGGTCTTATGAATTTTAGCTCAATATGCAATGTTGTCCATAAACTTTTAAATTGTTCAATATGGTCCCATGGACATTTAATACATATTCAATTTAGTTTTTGAAAATATTTAATGCTGTCCTTGAATTTGAATTATTGGAAGGACAATATTAAAATTCAGGGGTTAAATTGAACATGTATCAAAAGTTAAAGACCGAGTTAAACAAATTAAAAGTTTACGGATCACATTACATATCGGGTAAAGTTCAAGATCAACATTAAATAAATTAAAAGTTCATGAATCATATTACACATTGAATTAAATTTTATTGACCATTTATGTTATTATCCCATAGCCTACTGGACCTTACATTTTCTTGTTAGGGAGTATTCCACGTGCGAATATTTGGATTCTTAGGCTTCATTCGTTTGGCGGAAAATATTCTCCTTTTGGAAAATATTTTCCCGGAACATAATTTTCCGGTGTTCGGCGACCAATATGAAAAAGTTTCGGAAAATATTTTTCGCCGGCGACCGGCGGCGGCCGGCAACCGGCGGCGGCCGGCAACCGGCGGCCGACGACCGATGGCGGTAACCTCGTGGCCGGGCGACCGCGGCGGCCGACGACCGACGGCCAACGCCCCAAGCGCCCGGTGGCGGCGGTAAGGCGACCATGCGCGGCGGCGGCAAATGGCGACCGGGCGGCCGGCGACTCCATGCAGGCGCGGCCGGCGACCTTAGTGAAGAAGAAGAAGAAGCTCTGGAAAATGATTTTCGCTTTTGAAGAAGCGGAAGTCATTTTCCATAGACTTAGGCTATTTTGTGAGCGGGGAAGGAAAATATTTTCCCACGGAAAACGTTTTCCGCCCCCCGAACACCGGAAAACCCGGAAAATATTTTCCGAAAGAATATTTTCCGCTAAACGAACGGAGCCTTAGGGTTCGTTTGTTTTGAGGAAAATGTACCAACTCTGGAAAATACTTTCAAAGAAGGTAACTTTATTTTTTGGTGTTTGGCTAAAACTTAAAAAGACTTGAAAAATATTTTCAATCGTTTAGTAAGGAAACTCTAACGGGAAAAATTATCAAAAAATTCGTATTTTTTAAAAATTATTTTTATATATTTTTCTTTTTTTTTTCTTCCTTGGTCAGTCGCTGGCCATGACCGGCCATAGGTGAGTTCCAGCCTCGTCCAACGCCACGAGGCTCAAGCTCGCTCGTCTAGCGAGGCTCGAGGCTTGCCACTAGAGGCAGTGAGCTCCCTCGATTTGGCAAGGCCCAAGCTCACCGGGCGGCGACTGGTTGAGAAAGAAGCAAAAAGAAAAAAAGAAAGGAAAGAAAAAGAAAAGAAAAGATAAAAATTAAAAATAATAAAATTTTTCATTTAAAAAAAATGAAAAAGTAAAAATTTCGATTTATTTATAAAAATTAAAAATTCGAATTTTTTTAGAAAAATATTTTTATAGGAGCAAATGTTTCATTAACCGAACCTAAGCCCGAGTGTCGAGGACCATACATAGCCTTTGCGGACCTAGATTAGAGCTTGAGCATAGGGAACCCGAGCATGGCCTTTATGGACTCGAGTTCGTATGCCTGAGTTATGGGTACGAGCACCAAGGGTTCGGGCCTTGCCTTCATGGACCCGGGAGTGGGCAAAGGGGGACCGGGCCCGGGACACCGAGGTGCTGAGTCTGGCCTCGATGGACTTGAGCCTAGCCGCCCAAGGCCTTGGGATTTTTGTGTCCAAATGTAAAGTTTCGAATCCAAGCTCCTACCGATAGCTAATCATATTTCCAAAAATTTTCCCGAATTTAAACTTTGATAGGAAATTTTTTTCGTCGAGTAGGAAAATATTTTCCATTGATTCAAACCAAATGTTAAAAAATGAGAAAAAAAAAATATTTTTTTCAAAACAGACGGAGCTGGATCTCGTCAATTTCATTAGATTCAGAGACTCAGTTGTCTTTACTAGTTCTCGTCTGTAGGGGGCTCTTCGTGTTTCTATCGGCCAAATCCGTCAGCCTTGATGGTGTCCGCGAGCAGCTCCGCAACACCATCATTCCCTGGATTCTCTCCATGTCCCCGACCAAGCTTTCCCGTTCCTTCTCTTCCTTTCGCTCCAACAAGAGAGCATGCAATGCTTCGTCCGTCCAGACTCTTCTCAAGAGAGGGTTCACCCCCGCCATCAAGCACTTCAACCTCCACCTCCTCTTCCTCTCTCGATCCCACAAATTCGACTCCATCGTCCACCTCTTGTCTCAGCTGGAGCAAAACAATGTCCACCCCAACTCGCGCACTCACTCCATCTTCACGCGGGCTCTTCTCGAACTCCGCAAATTCGAGGAAGCAGAGCGGTTCATGAGGTCTCCGACGGCCAGGGCTTCGAATTTTGCCAAGAACCGCATCTGGGACTCTATAATTCAAGGCTACTGTGTCCATCGCGAGGACCCGGAAAGAGCATTGTCAGTTTTTCGTGACTGCTTGAGTGGGTGTCGTGTCTTGCCTTCTTCCTATACTGTTTGTTCTTTAATTCATGGGTTTAGCTCTCGCGGGATGATGGGAAGAGCGATTGAGGTCATGGAGTTGATGGCGGACGAAAAGATGGAATACCCTTTTAATAATTTCGTTTGTAGTTCTGTTATTGCTGGGTTTTGCAGAATAGGGAAACCAGAACTTGGCGTTGAGTTCTTTGAGAAGGCCAAGATTTCGGGGGCTTTACGTCCCAATCTAGTCACTTACACTGCCCTTGTACATGCTCTTTGTAAGTTAGGTAGGGTTGACAAGGTCGGCAATTTATTTCGTGCGATGGAGGAGGAGGGTCTGGCTTTTGATGTCGTGTTTTTTACTTGTTGGGTCTGGGGTTATCTCAAGGAAGGTTTTGTAATGGAGGCTTTTAGGAAGAATAGTGAAATGTTAGAGAAAGGAATTGGTGCAGATACTGTTAGCTATACCGTCCTTATGGAGGGATTTTCTCGAGAAGAAACTGCAGAAAAGGCGGTTGGATTTTTGTCGAAGATGAGAAACGAAGGATTGAAACCCAACCTAGTTACTTACACCGTGGTGATATTGGGACTTTGCCGGAAAGGAAAACTGGAAGAAGCATATAACATTTTTAAGACTATTGAAGATATAGGGATGGTTGCAGATGAACTTCTGTATGCAACTTTGATAGATGTTGCTTGTAGGAAAGGTGATTTTGATCTTGTTCTTGATTTGCTGAGTGACATGGATCGGAAGAGGATTAGTCCGGGTGTCGTTACGTACAATACTGTTGTGAACGGACTGTGCAAATCTGAGAGAACATGCGAGGCGGATAAATTCTCCAAGGGAGTTGTGGCAGATGTTGTTACATACAGTACCTTGTTGCATGGGTACATTGGAGAAGAGAATGTCGAGGGAGTACTAGATATAAGGCGGAGGTTTGAAGAAGCTGGATTTTCTATGGACATTGTCATGTGTAACATACTAATTAAGGCGTCATTCATGGTGGGAGCATTTGAAGATGCTCATGCACTCTATAAGAGAATGGCAAATATGAATTTAACTGCTGATTCCATTACGTACTGTACGCTAATTGATGGATTCTGTAAACTAGGAAGAATAGATGAGGCGCTAGAGATATTTGATGATTTCAGGGAGACATCAATTTCTTCTGTTGCATGTTACAACTGTATCCTCCAGGGCCTGTGCAGGGAAGCCATGATTGATATGGCCATTGATGTATTTCTTGAACTTATTGAAAAGGATTTGCCCGCAGACACATGCATTTGTAAGGTATTGATTAAGGCAGCTTTTAGAGACCAAAATGCCGATGGCGTCTTAAATTTGGTTGTCAGAATTGAGAAACTACCCTTGGAAATACACGATAAGGTATGTAACGAGGCTATCTGCTTTTTGTGCAAAAAAGGTTTTTCAGAGTCCGCGTTGGAGATTTACATGTTGATGAGAAGGAATGGCTCACTCATTACAAGCAAGTCTTACTTTTTAATGCTCAAAGGACTTATAGACGGGAAGAAACACATGATTGAGCCTTTTCTGTGTAAATTTGTTAAAGAATATGGAAGTGGTGACCCTAAAGTGGGAAAAACAATAGCACGATATCTAAGCTTGAAGGATGTCAACAGGGCCCTTCAATTTGTCAACAAGATGAAGGAGGGAAAGTCAATTGTCACCTTAACTACATCTGTATTTAAGATACTTATACAGGATGACAGAGTTTTAGATGCATATAAGCTACTCATGGATGCGATAGATCATGTTCCTATGGATGTGGTTGATTATTCAATCATGGTCAATGGTCTCTGCAAGCGAGGATATATTAACCAGGCACTTGATCTTTGCTCTTTCATTAAGAAGAAGGGGATAGCCCTCAACGTTGTCTCTTACAATTCAGTCATTAACGGGTTGTGCCGCCAGGGTCGATTAATGGAAGCATTTCGGCTCTGTGATTCTCTAGAGAAAGTTGGTCTGGTTCCATCTGAGATCACATATGGTACACTAATTGATGCTCTATGCAGGGAGCAATTTCTGACTGATGCTCAACTACTTTTCCAGAAAATGATCCGTAAGGGGCTCGAACCTGGTACTCATGTTTACAACTCATTAATTGATAGCTATTCTAAGATTGGTATGTTGGACAATGCATTGCAGCTTCTCCATGAAATGGAGATGAAAGGCCTTAAGGTGGATGCATTCACTGTAAGTGCCGTGATTAATGGTTTTTGCCGAAGTGGGGATATGGAAGGGGCTCTCACCCTTTTTTCTGAGTTCAAGAATAAAGCTATCTTACCTGATCTGTTGGGTTTTCAGTATCTGCTAAGAGGTCTGAGTGCCAAGGGAAGGATGGAAGAGGCAAGGAATGTGTTGAGAGAAATGCTTCAGTCTCAGCCTATAGTGGAGCTGATAGACAAAGTTGACTCTGAGTTTGAAACGGAATCGAACAATTTTCTTGTGCTTTTATGTGAGCAAGGGAATATAAAAGAAGCTATTACTCTCCTCGATGAAATTGGCAACATGTATCATCCTATTCAGAAATTCCATGCTGATTTTAATGAGTTGGCAAAACCAAACATGCGTTATGAGGGAGAGGGATTTAAAACAGATGTTGCAAGGTCTATGACAGACCTTGGTAATAAAGGTCTGGAAATTTGGCCATTGGAAGTGAAGAATGTGGAGGATGCTATGAGGGCGACGAAAGCTAAGCTTAATGATTTTGAATCTTTCTATTCCCTGGTTGCTTCACTATGTTCAAGTGGGGAGGTAGAAAAGGTCAACCTGCTTCTGAAAGGATTTGTTTGCTAATGCAGAAGAAAACTAATTTTGCTCCAACGTTATTAGCTTGAGTATTGCTTGCTCTCTCTGATTCATGATGGCTCACTTCCAGGCATTAATAGCAGATATAGCTTCATAGGATCAATAGACATTTGGTCAACAGGTTTGTCTATGTCGCCATTGCTCTTTACGTCTTCCTGCCCCTGCTTGCTTGCTTGTCTTTGTGAACCTTTCGGCTGCATTCGTTTTCCATGATCTTATGATGTTGATATCTTTAGCTCCAATTGTGTGTATGGGTGCCATCCAAGATTGCCATATGATTCTCAAAGTTATCTTTTTCATTTGCTAGTCGTTTCTTTCTTTCTTTTTTTTTTTTGAATAGATAGATAGTCTTTTCTATTCTTTTGTCCCTTTTGTTGCCTGTTTTATCATATGTATCTTGTGTGTATTGTCATTGATAAAATTTGCAAGTGGCGTGTACATTTTTTGAATATTTTCAAACTTTTTAACAGTGTCATTGCTGATTGTCTGCTCTCTGGCTTGTGCTTGACTAACTATTATCTCCTTCTATGATTAGAAACTTTGCTGGGTCAAGATGCTCTATCATCTTAGACCTGTATAGTGAGAACTACAAAAAACTGAGATAACAGTCATTAATGACAGTTGTGAATGCGATTGAACAAGTGAAAGGATGTTCTGCAACTTCCTCTCTGTTTCTATAGAGCCTTGGGGCAATCAATCGGAGACAACTCCAAGGAAAACTTGTTGAAAAGATATAGAATTCGGTTTCGGACACTTTGATTTTTTTAAAAACTCTACTAATTTCGGTCAAGGAGCGTTTTCTTGTTTATATTAACTACCTGTTGCTGCATCATTCACAGTGTGGTAAAGAGATTTGAGTTCATGTTGTTCTTTTCATTGGAAGCAAGTTTCTTAAATGCAAAAATTATTGAAGCTTAACCTTCAGAGAAAGAATTTAGATGTACTTTCGGAATCTAATTTTGTTTTTTTTTTTAAAGTTAATTGTGCTTATTTACAGCTCTCAGAAATCCGAGCTTGTGAAGGTGTATTCTCTGATCCACATATTTTAAAAAATGGAAGTAATTCACCTGACTTACGATGGACCAGGTTAATTTAAGTCCTGTTGCTGTTCTCCTTGTCAAATAGCTGTTGTTGTTGACTACCTTTGAGAACAGTTCTGTTTTTCAGATTCTATACTTATCCTTTATGATGAACAAATCATCAATTGTTCTTTCTGAAGAAGCCATGAAATTTTTTCTCTTTTATGGGTACTGACTGGTCCAACGATATGAACAAAGGGAATAGGGAAAGTAGGAGGATTTTTTGGTAGACAATATTAAGGATTTAGACCATAATTTTGCTTTTCAAGATTAATTCTGAATATGAAAAGGGCAACATTTGCAGGCTTAAATAGGAAGATTACAATAATTAGGGTTGAGTGCTTTTAGGGTTTAATGGTTTAGAACCATTTAACTAGTAAGTAGGACATGTGGTTGTTTTATTAGACAATGACGATCATTATTTCTTCATTTTATTCAATAATGGTCTTACCCGCACGTAATGCTTCTGTCTCTCCAATGCGACCATAGTCAGGGTGAATGTGGTTTATTCCTGATTTCTATCGAATGGTAGCTTTTGTGTCTGGGTAATTTAAATACCTGCATGAGTGAAAAGCTGTATGTTATCCATTACCAGATAGCAGTTGAGGTCACCTCTTTAGGAATTATGAGCTAAAGAAGATGGTAGATCAGGATTATCGTGCTTATATCCAGAGGATGAAGTTACTTTTGGACACCTGCACTCTAAGGACAATCTTCTCATGGTGTTCATTGGGGACTGCTGGGTGTTCCATGGGCATCCATGTAGCTGGATCCTGCACTTGTGCTTTTCAGATATCATAAAAAAAATTATTGTGGTGCCTTGGACATCCATACAGACAAAGCAAATGTCATGTATAAGGAATATTTACAATATAGGTCTTCATTTATTTGAATGACTGAGCATTGAGTGGTATAGCTCCAACGTATTTCTTCGGAATGTTATTCATCTTGCAATTGCTGAATGTGAACTTGAGGTGATAGATTTAAATACTTGTGAGGCAAGGACTTTGTGTGTCGTTTTCTAATAAAAGAAATCACTTATCACTTTTACTGCCATCTTTCTTGAATTACATTGACAATGCACAATATCTCGGCATTTCTTACATGTGAAGTTCATCAGATGCATTGGCCTTAAATTTCACTTTTTCCTTCGACAGGGATGCACCAATTCTTGGTGCCATTGGCATATGTTCTTCATGTGGACGTTGAATGTCTCTCTCGAGCGAGAGGGCTTCGCGGAGAGAACTCCGTTAACAAGTTTGATGAGTTATCGTTTCATAAAACGGTCTTATCCTTAATTTTGATATTCAAGAAGTTCTTTGATACCTTCGGAGACCTGAATTTATGGAGGAAATACATCCAAGGTGCGGAGTATTAATGAATTTAATTCTGGCCTGCCTCCTGTAATTGAGGCTTCAGCCGCTTTGTACCATCTGCTATCTACTGTTGATTCATTTCTCTACAGTCACCTTGTGAATAGGGATGGGCTCCGGACAGGCCCGGGGAACGTGCGGCAAGGAACTTACCCCTCAGTGCCCTGCGCCCCGTTCCCTGCTTTCTTACCACAAATTCACCTCTAATGGGGCGGGGCACCCTGGGGCATGGGGAATCCATGCCCATGCCCATCCCTATCAATGAGCTGGGGTTTGAGCCACAATACTTTGCACTTCACTGGTTACGTGTTTATTTGGTCATAACTTTACACTTCAAGACCATTTGGCAATCTTGGATGAGTTTTTGCACAAAACAATGGTAAAGTAGACCCAAGTGCTGAAGATGACAAAGGATCTACCTTCAAGATTCTCAGTTCAGCACGGGAGCACTTATTGCTAGTATTGCTGTTTCTATGATACTTTGCTTGAGATCTTCCCTGCTTGTGGATGAGAATGCTATTTTCTCTCTCCAGAGCTTACTGAAGTTGCCCTTGATCTAAAGAAACTAACAGACAGCACGAAGTCACTGCAGGTGTTGGCTCTGGAAGTTAATACTTCTAGAGCTTTCTTTGCCCATAGGGGCTTTTGTCTGAAGGGAGCAAATAGTGAGTAGAGGCCATAGCATGTCATCTGGCTTTGAATCTCCTAGAACTTCATCGATATTGGTACCTGATAGCCACTGGGAAAATATGTTGAGAAATCTGCACAAAAAAGAACTTAAGTGGGGAAGTTCACAGAAACAAGTTTTGACCGAGAAAAAGGGATGGTCTGAGAAAGCGAAACTGAGTCTCTCCAGAACGGAGTCTTATTCATCTCCAGCTAAGGCTGAGAACATTGAAAGGTCACTAGGGCATCTGTAAAGCATAGGTTTTCAGAAAATTTTGTCGAGGCAGCTTGGCAAAGATGAAGGTGCTGAGGAGATGAGCAGCCATCAAAACATAGGTCAGAAGGATCAGAAGTTCTTATGTCTTTAATTGCATGGATAAGAGACATTCAAGTGTGAATTCTGGGAGCGAAGAGAAGTCCTCCTGACCCAGCTAGTCCCTTATTAGCAGTATTCTAGACCATGGGTAGGACCAGGAGAAAAGCAGTTTTAGCTTATCCGTGGATGAACACGATGATCAGATGCAAAGTATGAACCGGACAGTGAATGATTCACTGCCTCCTGCTTCTTCGATGTTCCTGGCAAGACCTCTCTAATACTGAACTGGATAACGATTCAGCAGGAAAAGTCGTGCATGACCTCATGACTTAGCCAAAGACCGATGATGATTTTTATGTCTGTTAATTGTATGGAATTTCTTTTATGGTTAGACCTGTTTACTGTTAATGACATTCCATGGAACTTTCTTGCAGAAAAAAAATTATAGAAACAAGTGTAATTTGGCACTCCAACAATCAATGAAAGTGGGAGCGTGAAAATTCAAGTGAATATGAATTCTCGAACATGGAGATTAGTTTAAGCATGTTAAAGGAGTTGTTGATAACATGACATTATAGTATGCTAGATGGTTAAAAATATCTCTAATTGTCCAAATTTCGTACTTGACGCATCATAAACGATTACTCGAGGAATTGGCAGATGTCTCAACATTCAACTTGAGGAAAGAATACCAGTAGTTCATGGCTGGTATCATATGATTTTTCATCTGCAAATCTAATTGTCCTAGTGACAAATTTGATGGAGAATACTTAATTACATGTTACAGGTGTTCAAGGAAAAGGTACGGTTCTGTCGAGAGAAAAGAAAAGGATCAGATGCAATTCGCTTGCTGATTAGGTTGGAGAGGAGTAATGGATTTGGCAGGTATCCGTAATTGTTTCCCAGAAAATAGATGTTGAAAGTGAATAATATTTTCACCCATTTCCTCACCTGCTATGAAGTTTCAGACTCTGCAAGTAGCATTCGAAAAATTCATCTGCTAGACGATTGCTCAGCAATGCGGTTGCCGAATCATGGTATTAGTCGAGCTTGTAACGTTCCTATGGCTGAATTTCCCTACTGGACTCTGGATAATGGTTTCTCGAGGTGTCATTTGAATAAGCATTTTAGCTAGTGTAGAATCTGGAAGTGAGATTATAGGTTGTCTTCTTTTGAAGAATCTGGAAGTGAGATTATAGATTGTCTTCTTTTGAAGCGACAACGAAAGTTCATTTTTTCATGTGGCACCAATGTGCCATCTTGTGTCCTTTCGTTGCATTCTTGCTTCTCACAGTTTATTGTCCCTCTTCTTTAGGTAAGTGAGGGATTAAAAGGAGAAATTACACCGTATCTCTCGATTTGCTCTTGGGGCATTGTGCCATCTCATTTGGGTTGAACGGAATAATATCCTTTTCAGAAATAGCACCCTTTTTATGCCTGCTCTCCGCAATCATCTTGCCAAGGTAGTTAGAGACAAAGGCCTTTCTCTCAAGCCGGTTCAAGACAATCCTCGGAACAGAAGGATTCAAGCCAGTTGGGGCATATCTGATTCTATATTCAGCTGACCCTCTTTTGTAGTCTTTGTTGGTGTTTTATGTTGGCTGCCGGGTAGCCTTCTCTGTATAGCGCTTCTTGTGCTTCCTTTGTTTGCTGCAACACCTTTCTACCTGTCGGGACACCTTTGTCTCTTCAGGTACGAGGTTTTTGTGTTCGGCCTCACTTGCTGTAAAATGCGCGTTGAAAAGTTATATACTACTTACTTTAACCCAAAAAAAAAGAGGAGAAATTACACAAATGATTCTTGCACTGTTAGCCCTAATTTTTTTTAAATCTATTTACTTGATGGATTTTGGTCTATCTATGTTAGGGATAAGTGCACAAAAAGTCATAAAACTTACTATGAAAGCGTGATAGAATCCTTAAACTTTTAAAAAATGAATCCCAAAATTTTCAAAACTGCAATCTGGAACTTGTCAAATTGATACAATCAAGTTTCTCCATCCGCTCTATCCGAAGTGGAAGAGGTTTTTTCTATTTAATGATTTCTCTCTTCTACGGAACTTAAAGTGAGCCTGTCACATGCAAAACAACAATGGTTTGTTCTCCTTTAGTGACTCAAAAATAGCATGATTTTGAAAGTTAGCCCCAGATTGAAGCAAAGAAATCCAGAAACGGCGTTGTTTGTGTTTGCCGAAAATTGAACCAAATAACCTCAATTTCCTTTTCTTCGTCCGAGTGCTAAATTCCTCGTCCTCTTCCTCGTCTGAATGCACACTCTAAGAGAATCGAAGGGAAAAAACTTTGCAAAATCAACGGCATTATATTGCGTTCGACAAACCTCATTCTGTTTGAGGTCGTCCAAACCAAATAGCCCCAAAATTCCTCTTTATCGGAAAGCATTTAAGGGAAAGCATAGCGGGAGAATTGGCTTCTTCGCATTTAAGGGAAGGCAGTGAGCGTGACCCTTGGCCCCTTGTACACAAATTACAGAAATCAGAAAGAGAGGTTTCCAGAGCAGAGAAATCCAGATGCAGCGTCATAAACCAGCTAAATACCGACGGGAAAACAGCGATGCAGACTTTCAATGGACATGGAGAAACTTCCATGTTGCTGTGTCGGGCTATGGTCGCCTGAGGTCGCCACTTGTGCAACGAAACGTAAATCTGTAACAGAACAGCTTCCTCCAATAACAAGTAAGCTGGAGAGATCATGCATGAAAAGTAAGCTTTGGAGACACTTTGAATGGGTAAAAGTAAGTTTGAGCATGGCAGCATCATGCATGAGAAAGTAAGTTGGAGACACCTCGAAGCTGCAACAACTTGATTTACTTGATTTCGTTCAAAAGTGAGTTCTCTCATCCTTCTTCCCTATCTTTTAACAGCCACATGGATAAGGTTATTAACGGTAATGCCTAAAATTGAAAGCAAATTTTCTCATCTATCAAGTCATGTTATCCACAGACGCAAAAAGACCCATCAAGTCAAATGTCAAAGTCTTTAATGTTTAAGGAAGATTGTTGGACAACAATTTCGGAAGTTCAATACAAAATGCATGAGTAGAGGTTCCTCTCTTTCTGCATAAGAGATAATTTATATATCAATGAACTCTCACCCAGACTCAACACATTTATTATCCATGATGACGTCATTCACGTCCGCCTTTTTAGTGAGTTTTAGTCACTACTTCTCTCCAGGTTTCTGCAATGAAAGAAAAAGAGACATCTATGATTAGAAAATGCTATCGATGTTTCATACATGACGTAGGCGATTGTGGAAAAACTCGTGTAACTTCAACTCAAAATACTAACATAAGTATCAATTCGTGGCACAAATTTGGGCAAAACTACAACCTCAAAGAATTTACTTTCTACCAAGTCAAGATATCAAAGTCAGGGCTATAAAGCTCACATCCTTCCTCTAAATACTTATCCACTTCAAATTTTTCTTCCAAAATTTGTTGTCCACGGCTAAGATACTTTGTAGTCATAAAGTCTGCACCAACCATAGGAGACTTTGACACGCTAACTGTCCTTGTACCCAAGTTGCTTTGGGGGCATTTACTAGTATGGTATTGCTCATACAATGATGCCAGGAATGATGGTACTCTATCATGTAAAATTTCTGTTTACTTACTATCATAAACATCATTAATCAACCATTTCACACATTCTCACATATGTCGAGGGTCAGGTATGCAAGCAATGAACAATTTGAGATTGATGTTGTTCACATTGCCAAAATACTTATTGAATTTGGTCTTCATTCTTGTAGCCATTTCTTGCAAACTTTTATCCTCATTCTCACAATATTCATTAATCATCCCAGAAAACTTATAGACGTCCTTCGCAAAACATTACTAGTGACATAAGAAGGACCCGAAACTTTTGAAGTCGTACAATAGAACAACTTCAAGAAAGGAAGAAGGTGACGGGTATAATTCCAATCATCACTAGTAGGCAACCCTTTTCCCTTGGATAGTACTTCAACAAATTTGCTATCTTGAATTTCCAATAAGAAAAAAAATCTTTTTGAAACTTCAAAAGCCGCTTCTAACATCATATATGTTGAGTTCTAACGAGTCTCCACATCCAAATATACAAGACTTTTGGA